TGGGCTAATTTGCCCATTTTGTTTTAGTTGTCATACAACTTAAACATAATGGGCCTTGTGGACCAACACTTTTGGGCCCCGAAACCCAAAACCAACATATAAGCCCAATACGAACCTTTCGTATAATTAATTAACTAATTAATTAATCTTGACCATTCTTCAATTAAACCATTTAATTGCTTATCCATTTCATATAATTTCTTCACTAACATCCTTATGTGGTGTGCGATCCATTAGGTTCCAATTAGCGAGGCAGTGGGCGATGTTACTCTTAACGATCGATTGTGAATTGAAACCACATTTCAATTCTCCCTTAAGATTAGTGCTTGCTAATCTTCAGGGCTTCCACAAACCATGAGTGACACCTAGCAGCATATCATGGTTACCCAAGCTAAGTAGAATTGGTTGGAGAACCTATCCAGTTACAACTACAATGCAATACGGTCCTTCTCTAATACAATACTCTTAATCACATTGTTTAAGTGATAGTTTGTTTCATGTCTACTATCCAATGTGATACTTTCCTATATGATTCCTTTGAATATGATTTGGAACAAACTTCCTAAGTCATATTCATATGCTTTGGCCAAAGACTTTAGAATCATATCTTAGAGTATTCTCCTTCCACCATGGAAGGTTAGAGATCCCTTGTTGTGCATTCATATGCCTACATGACTAGATAGCTTGACCCCAACAATGCCGTGGACAATCCGAAGGAATGCCATTGACATAATCAAAGATCAAGGACCTAACCATTAGACATCTATGATGCCTCAGGTCAAAGGACTACTTTGCATATTGCAACTTTAGAGTTCATACATGACATGTATGTTCGAACTCTCTTTTGATCGACGTTCAGTGTACTCGATTACTCTTTCGAGCACCTATGTGTTTGTCTCAGTGTCCAACACCAAATGACTTGAGACTAGTTCATACTCACGTTTGAGTCAACATAACACATACTAACCTTAGCGGATTATCAATGCCCAATTGGCAATCCTATGGCTAGGAACGTTTTAGGAATGATCATAAGAGAGAGGTCTCGATAATCTAACTCATTAGATCACTTCTCTCTTAGAACAAATACATTCCTTGGATTCCCTTATTGCTTAAACACATGATACAATAAATAGTGATTAACAATAAGCTTTGCCCTTCATTAAACATACAAAAGTTTAATACAATAAGTATTCCAAAAGCTATTACATCAAATGAGTGGCTTTGTGGGCATACTTCCAACATAACTCTCTTAATGTACTTCTTGCACACAATGGGTGCCCTTATAAAAGAAAGGGCAACAGGGCCGTTGGTTCAAAAATCGAAGAGGCACTACTCTCCGGATTCCGAAGAGGCACCACTTTCCACACTCAACATCAGCTCCTCGGGTACCACATATAACTTTGTCAAAGATCTTTGACAAAGTTTAGACTCATAAATTTTGAAGGTCCAGCTACCCTACTATTACCCACAAGGGTAAAGGAACAGCACCACTGCTTGATAACTAGAAAGTCCCAATATGTGTCAACCTCTGTGCTCTGTGACAAGACAGACTGGCAAAAATGCCCAACCTTTACTCACATTTGAGAAAATACTCCCAACAAGATTGCTTGCTAAAAAATTGAAAAAGCATCGCTCTCTGAATCTCGAGAGCCAGACTCCCAATAGGATTACGTGCTAAAAAATCGAAGAGGCACCGCCCTCCGAATCTCGAGAGCCAAACTCCCAACAGGATTACTTTCTCAAAAATCGAAGAGACACTGCTATTCGAATATCAAGAGTCAGACTCCCAACAAGATTGCTTTCTCAAAAATCGAAGAGGCACCGCTTTACGAATCTCGAGAGCCAGACTCCCAATAGGATTTCGTGCTCAAAAATCAAAGAGGCACCGCTCTCCGAATCTCGAGAACCAGACTCCCAACAGGATTACGTGCTCAAAAATCGAAGAGGCACCGGTATCTGAATCTCGAGAGCTAGACTCCCAACAGGATTACTTTCTCAAAAATCGAAGAGACACTACTCTCCGAATCTCAAGAGTCAGACTCCCAACAAGATTGCTTTCTCAAAAATCGAAGAGGCACCGTTCTCTGAATCTCGAGAGCCAGATCCCCGACAAGATTGCTTGTTCGAAAACCAAAGATGCACCGCTCTCTGTACTTCGAGAGCCAGATTTCCTTGGATAAAGCTTGTCTGAAATCTTCACACGCAACATCAGCTTTCCAGATACCACAGACCACTTTTTCAAAGTGCTCTGACAAAGTTAAAACACGTGAAGCTTGCAGCTCCCACTACATTGCTATGACCAAGAAGGGTAAAGGAATAGCACTACTACTTGTTGTTAGGGAGACTCCTATATATGTCGACCTCCATCCTCCACAGCCAGGCAGACCTGCAAATAAAAAAAATGCTCAACTTTTCTTCACATCCGAGAGGGCACTCTCAGCAGAGTCTCTCGAAATACTCAGCTTTTTTTCCTCCCGATAATACCTCTGCAAACAAGCCACACTAGAGCAAGAGTATCTCATATCATCAGGGTTAAAAGCAAGAGTATCCCATATCATGATTTTTCCCTGTCTTTTCCTTTGGCATTGTTCTTACCTGCAAGACAAAAAGAAAGAGAGCAATCAGTCAGCACTTGGAATCAAGCTTCCAGTCAGGAACTGACTGCCTTGAACCCCTTGCCTGATTACTTACCTGACATTGCTCTCGAGTACTCATATTCAACATCTTATGCTTCCAGAAAAGATACCACATATGCCTGAAGAACAGATAGGGCAAGTGAGAAAGATACAATGAAGCATGTGGAGACAAGCGTAACAAAACACGTGCCGATACATCCACTACTTTGTCAATAGCAAAAGTATCCTATATCATCCGGGTCAAACGTACTCTAGATTTAATGGACTTGTTTTGACCCTCAAATTCTTGAGTCGGCCTTATACTTTGGAGGAAACCAGAAAACCCTCCAGCCCAGTTCAAGAATAAGCATGTGGAAAGTTACTTCTTCAAAAGCAAAAGTATCTCATATCATTTCTTCTCCATTTGCTTCTCCTTATCCTTGTTGCTGTTTACGACACAATGAGAAGGAGAACAATCAACCGGAAGCTGAAGTCAAACCTCTGATCCAGGTTGCTTGCTTGGAAGTCTGATTGCTTACCTTGTCTGTTACCTCCTTCAGCAAATCTCCTAGCTCGGTGACTTAGGGGACTCCTACTATAGGGTTTGTATCGCACTTGACCAAGCCCGAAACTACAAGTAAGCTTCAAGTGAAATTGATACATTACCTTGTGCATCTTCATCGGTTAAAGATACCACCCCTGGATGAAGGAAAAGTACTTCCAGAGAAGATGCCACATCTACATATGAGACAGATAAGGGAAGTGAAAATGATACCACACTTCGGTACTTAGAAGTTTCGTGATTACTCAATGGCTTGGATCTTGCAAGTCCCCATCCGTGGAGCTTCCTTCACTTGAGAGCTTAGGGGAGCACTGTTTGTACCATACTTGACCAATCCCGAAACTACTGAGCATCGGTTAACATTATACCGTCAAGGACCCAGAAGAGTTTCCCTTCAACCAGGAGACCAATCACAGCGCGACACATGTTGACATCAAAAGCCAATCATAATGCGATACGTGTCAATATCAGAAGCCAATCACAACACGACACGTGTCAATGTTAGAATGAAACTAGAAACTCTCTTCTATAAATAGAGATCATTCTCTCACAATATTTCCTAATGTCATTTGTACTAATTCATTCACTAGTACTCACAAAATGAGAGCTTGAACCTATGTACTTGTGTAAACCCTTCACAATTAATGAGAACTCCTCTACTCCGTGGACGTAACCAATCTGAGTGAACCACGTACATCTTGTGTTTGCTTCTCTGTCTCTATCCATTTACATACTTATCCACACTAGTGACCAGAGCAATCTAACGAAGGTCACAAACTTAACATTTTCTGTTGTACCAAAGTTCTCACTGATTTTGTGTATCAATAGGTGCAATGCAGTTAACTTCAACGTGAGCTCTTGTCAATTTTTGTGGTTGTATTTTGATTTCGTACTTCTTGTTGTAAATGAAATAGAAATTCTATGCAGCTCTCTTCTTGTGAATCGCTTGTCAGGGGAGATTCCAAAGGAGTTGGGAAATATTACTACTCTTACACAACTGTAAGCTTAGATGTTTCGTTTTTCTCAGTAATTATTTTTTGATCATGGACTTATTGTAACTAAGATTGGCAGGGTCTCCATCCCCGTCTCCCTGGATTACATTCTGCTATTACTTCAAAAGCTGCAGAAGCTTTTCTATTTGCATCCATTGTGAAACCCTTTTTTCCCCTCCAATTTGGACTTTCTCGCAGTCAATGAAAGTGATTCTGGCTTGCTCTTTCCAATCTCAATGTTCTTTTTATTTTTTGACAATCAGGCATCTTGAAGCAAATCAATTCTGCGGAGTTGTTCCCCCTGAGCTTGGGAGTTTAATCAACTTGGGAACTATGTAATGCAATTTTCCTTTTAGACAAATTTGGTTCTTTATATATTTTTTGGTACACTGTTAACACTTTTTGAAGGATGAACGATAGGTGAAAATTGATGGTTCATTGCTTTGGCATTGGAATTGCAGGACGTTGTCCTCCAATCGTTTGACTGGAAACTTACTGATGACATTTTCTGGGCTAAGAAATTTGACAGACTTGTAAGTGTTTTCTGTGTGTTTGTTTTTTAATGTCTAAAAACCTGCTTCCGTGTCACCTGATACAATTTTATTGTCCAATGCAGTAGAATAAACGATAACAACTTCAATGGAACAATAACTGATTTTATACAGAATTGGAAACAACTCGAGAGATTGTAAGATCTTTTGCTTTTGAAAAAATTCAGACCTGCCGTTTAAATCATTATAGATTAGCCAAATTACTTCAGACTTATTTGTTTCTAACGTCTCATGTATGCGTGAAATATGTATATTTTGGATCGTTGAAGAGAAAAATGGGACAGAGCAGGCCTAGTAAGATTGTACGTCGAGTATTTGTATCATCCAATACCATGAAGATGTTAGTTATATTTACCTTTGACGCCAGTTTTTCTAATGCTATTTAGTTACATATATTAGGGTTCTGAGAAACTGTAACATTTCTGGAGAGATTCCTCCATACGTCTGGACAATGCAAAACCTTGAAATGTTGTAAGTAGTGTGTGAACTTGGGGACTGATTGCACTGTTGTCAACTGGGAAGGCAGTTTGATTATATTTTTGTATTCTGATTGTTATAGGGATGTCAGTTTTAACAAGTTAGCAGGGAAAATTCCAGCCACATTGAACTTAGAGCGTTTGAGATTCCTGTAAGTATAACCTTCTGATACATTAACTATGAACTATTTTGGGAATGAAACTTAAGATTTTTAGGTTGCTGCATGCTTAATTGTTTTTTCTTTCGTTATATAATCAAATAATGAATATTGATGTAACACTCCAAAAATTTGAAGTTGCTTTCTGTAGATTTTTAACTGGCAACTCTATGAGTGGAAGTTTACCAGACTCAGTGCTCAAGGATGGAAGTAACGTGTATGTCTGATACTTATTTTCAACGCGTCATCGTATTTCTTTTTCTCTTTTGATATATTTGCAACTTACCTTTACCTTCCATGCTTCTCTTTGTACCCAAGATCTTTCCCATGAGTGTATTATTACTAAGTTGGTACTAACACTGGCATTCTGGGAGCTAACCAGTTTAGCATTTTACGATGATTGCACATATGGAAGATTTTTCAGTCTCACCTTTTCCTTGATGTATATTATTTTCCAAAATCTGCAATGTGCTTTGCTATAAAATACATGTACAGTACCAGACTACCAGTCCCCTGTTTCCATTTTTTCATTTCCTTAGTTGATCTTCCTTTTTCTTTTTGGCTTTGACGGAGAGGGGATGCTAGTCCGCAAAATGGCATCTCGTGGAGCAACATCTTTCTAGGCCCCGAGAGTGACCTTTACGATTTTTTTCTTGCATGCAGTGATCTTTCGTACAATAACTTCACATGGCAAGGCCCCCAGAAACCTGCTTGTCAAGACAACATGTCAGAATACTTGTCTAGTAAATATTCATGTTTTATGCCGGTTTTATAGGATTAAAACTGATCATTGTTTAACGTATTTCCCTATTGTTAGCAATCTAAACCTGAACTTGTTCCGGAGCTCTTCAAGAGAAAACAACTTGTAAGATTGTCTCTCTGTCTTGCTTTCTTTTGTTGCATTATAGCAATCACAAAAATGTTCATATATGCAAGGTGTACATTCCATGTTAACATATTTTTCCACTCAATTATGGTAGAAGGAGAGGTCTTCCATACTTGAAGAATCTCGACTGTCCACGATGTAAGGATATATTTAAGATTATATACACAATAAAGTAAATTCTTCTGATTATAAAGTGTTTGTTTCAAAAAAAAAAATGCTGGCAGTGAAGTTTGAAACCCGCTTTGCCTGAAATTTTTTTACATAGAACATTATATAATTCGAAACTTTAATGTTTTCATCACTGTTATGTGTTAGTAGATAGTTGCATTGCATCCTTAGTACGTTATTATCCAGCATTCTTTCGTGTTCTCTCACTTATACTTTTATTTTAACGTATTATGCCAGTTTCAACTTGTTTGCATGTTAATTGTGGTGGAAATGTCATCACTGTCGAAGGAAACAAACGAAATATTGTGTATATGAAGGAGAAGGAGGCGTTGAAGGTGGCACTGCAGATTTTTTTATAAATGATCCATCTTATTGGGGATTTAGTAGCACTGGAGACTTCATGGATGATGCGCCCACCTAGACCCCGCCTAGCCACCTAGGCGCTAGGCCCTAGTCCGCCGCCCGACTAGCGCCTAGCGTCTTTTAGAACCTTGCTAAATAACAATTTCATTCATCAATAGTCATGGAATTTCATATCAATAATTAACAATCAATAATTAATAACTATATTGATTAATTACTATATGATTCTATATCAATTAAATAAAAATTTCGTATTGAATAAACAATTAGGGTTAAGGCTAATATACATTTAGAAATTAAAAACTTTACAGAACGGCGCTGGAGGTTTGCTGGATGCTTGCGAGTTGCGGCTTGGATGGCTTAAAGGCTTCAAGCCTTAAAGTCCGGAAGCAATGGAAGGTGGCCAACGTGATAGGATAATGGGGGCTTGGTGATGACTCAGCATCTTGACTTGATGATGTGGCAGTATTGTTAGGATAGTATTGTTTAGTCAGCAATATCTGTTAAGCTGTTAGGCAGTTAGGAGTTGGTGGCTTAAAGGTTAAGCTACCTAGTGCTATATTAGGAAGGATTGTAAAAGAAGGGTTGTGATTGATTTGTTGATTGTAATAAGAAATACTCTGTTACGGTACATTGAGTGAGATGCAGAGTTAGGGTTGTATCATTGGTATCAGCCAAGGCTTCCGGTTCTACTTGATCCTTCCTCGTGTATGACTCGCCTTACTTCTAGAAGAACCATGGATACTCATGTATCGAAGCTCGAATCTATGTTCGTTGATCTCCATAATGAATTCAAGGAATCCAGGAATGAATTCAAGGAATACAAAGAGAAATATCGCGCGACCCAAGAGTTGATTCTTCAACAGTTGCACTCTTTGTCTTCGAATGGTAGTGATTCTCTCGGTGAATCGTCAAAAGATATCCATTCCAATCCGATTCTTCAAGAAAGGATGAATCCGAATCTGGATCCTCATTTTTTTTCACTCCGATTCGATTCCCAACTCATTGAATTCAAGGTCTCCGTTTCTTAAGATGGATTTTCCCCGATTAGGTGATGGGGATGAGCCATTGGCGTGGATCTTAAAAGCGGAGCACTACTTTGATTTCTTCAATATCGAAGACTTCAAGAAAGTAAAGATGGCCTCCTTCCATTTTCATGGTGAACCCCTCCAGTGGTTTGAATGGGCGAATTGTTGGTGAATTTTCCCAAATGGGAGGAGTTCACAAGGGCTCTTTGTCAAGAATTTGGGCCGTCTGAGTTTGAGGATTTGGCTGAAAGTCTGGTGAAATTACGGCAAACGGGTTCGTTACGCGATTATATTTTGGAATTCAAAAAGTTAGTCAATCGTAAACCAGACATCAATCCTCCTCTTCTGAAATCTTGCTTCATTGGGGGTTTAAATTTGAATTCGGCATGATGTGAAGATTTTGAAGCCAAGGAATGTTCTTGAAGCTACAGCTTACGCTTAACAACTCGATGCCAAATTGTCAGATTTAAAGATCAAGCCTTTCTCTTGTTCTTCTGGTAATTCCTCATTTTGTACTCCTTTACAGAATGTTGCTAATGTGACTATGGGGGATAATAAACCAAGAATTGAAAATGTTCGAAGAACAACACCATAGGAAGTAGAATATTGCAGAAAACATTGCTTATGCTTTCATTGTAAAGACAAGTATGTTAGGGGACATTCTTGTGAGAAGAAACAACTCTTGCTTATTGATGTGCAAACCTCTAGTGATGATGAAAATTCTAAGGATGATAATCTAGAACTTGAAATCACATCATGTGCACTTTTTGGGACTCCAGATCCTAAATCTATTAAAACAATGAAGGTGGTTGGTAGTATTAAGATTTGTTTTGTGGTTATTCTTATCGATTCGGGTAGTTCGCATAATTTCATTGACTCATCTTTGGTTAAAAAGGTTAAGGGTCAAATGGACACTTCTCATTCATTTAGTGTGAGAATTACTAATGGGGGAAAAGTGAATTATGTGGGATCCTTAGGGGCTACATCTTTGAAGGTACAAGATTATCAGTGTGTTATTGATTTATATGCTATGCCACTTGGGGGATGTGATATTGTTTTTGGGGTGCATTGGTTGAGAACCCTCGGGCCAGTTCTTTGGGATTTCGACAAGCTGTACATGAAGTTTCAAAAAGGCAATACTACTTATTATCTCTCTAGTCCGAAAACACCTACTGAGTTTATTCAAGATGTCTCAATCTTTCAAATGGAGAAGTTACTGCAACAAGAATCTTCGGTATGAGCTTTTCTTTTTCAGTTACAGTCTGAGGAAAGTGTTCAACAACCAAATGTCTTAACTGCTGAGCAATCTGTGGAGTTGCAGAATCTATTGCAAAATTATGACAGTGTCTTTCTCACCCCCTAATGCTTGCCTCCTCATAGATCCCATGATCATAGGATTCCATTAATGGAAGGTAGTCAACCACCCAGCATGAGGCCTTATAGAGATGGTCATTTACAAAAAACAGAAATTGAGAAGTGTGTGTAAGATTTATTGGATGCTGGTTTCATTAGAGTTAGTAACAACCCATACTCTTCACCGGTTATTTTGGTCAGGAAAAAGGATGAAACTCGGAGAATGTGTATGGATTACAGAGCTTTAAATTTGATAACTATCAAGGACAAATACCCTATCCCATTGATCGAGGAGTTGCTTGATGAACTTTTTAGGGCTCAGTTTTTCTCTAAGTTGGATTTGAGATCAGGATATCATCAAATCAAGATGCATCCTAGTGATATAGAGAAAACTGCATTTCGGACCCATGATAGGCTTTACGAGTTTTTGGTTATGCCTTTTGGGCTAACCAATGCTCCTGCAACATTCCAGTGCCTTATTAATGAAAATTTTCAACCATATCTCATAAAATTCATTCTAGTTTTTTTTTTTAATTTTTAATTTTTAGTTTTTATGATATATTGGTTTATAGCCAATCTTGGGAATCACATCTGGATCATCTCCGAACTGTTTTCCAAGTGCTGCAAGCTAATACACTGTTTGTTAAGAAGTCTAAGTGTGCATTTGGTCAAACTACTGTGGAATATTTAGGACATATTGTCTCTCAAGAAGGTGTAGCAGCTGACCCCTCTAAACTGGAAGCCATTGTTAACTGGCCAGACCCCACTTCCATTAAAGCACTGAGGGGGTTCCTTGGCTTCACTAGTTACTATCACAAGTTTATTCCAGGATTTGGGAGAATAATCTGTCCATTGACAGTGCTCATAAAGAAAGACAACTTCCATTGGTCTAAGGCTACCACCACTGCATTCAATGAACTTAAACGAGCTATGTTGTCTCCTCAGGTTTTAGCCCTTCCTAATTTTTCTCAACCATCTGTCATTGAAATCGATGCATCCAATTTTAGGATTGGAGCTGTTTTGCAACAATCAGGTAGACTAATTGCGTTTACGAGTAAAGCTCTTAGTGTGAGGAATCAATCTTTGTCAGCTTATGAAAGAGAAATGATGACGATTCTTCATGCCATCAAGAAGTGGCATTCATATTTAGTTGGCAGGCACTTTATCATCAAAACAGATCATCATAGCTTAAGTTCTTCCTCC